AAGAATTGATGCTTTTGAGCTGTGGTGTTGGAGAAGACCTTTGAGAGTCCCCTGGACTGCAAGGAGATCAAACCAGTCAATCCCAAAGGAAATCAGTCCTGCATATTCATTGGAAGACTGATGCTGAAGCTGAAACTCTAGTAGTTTGGCCACCTGATGTGAAGAAATGACTCGTTGGAAAAGACCCTGATGCTGGGAAAGATTGAAGGCAGGAGGAGAAGGGGACGACAGAGGATGAGATGGTTGGATGGCGTCACCAACTCAATGGACATGAGTTTGTGCAAGCTCCGGGAGCTGGTGGTGGACAGAGAAGTCTGGTGAGCTGCAGTCCTTGGGGTCACAGAGTCAGACACGACTGAGCAACTGGAGAAGAACAGAGTTTTGCAGCTCTGTTATGTGGTTTTGGATATATCGAGGGTAATTAAACAGGCATGTTGTTAATACCTCTAAAATTATTCTTTGTTATAGCCTCATATACTTTATAAGTAAAGCTGTCAAGATTTTTTTTCTTCTGTCCATCAGGCATTTTATTTGAATCTTACTTTTTGTCCTTTCATTCCTCCTTGGTCTTCAGAATTGAATTTTTATATTTCACTGGTCTTACTAATCTCCTGTAATATCTTGTAATTGTTTTCCTTTTCTCGCCTTCTGTGCACTCTATTACCTGTATTATTAGCTATTTAATTTGATTTTTCCCTTGTCTATTCTATGCTATTTTTAATTGCCTTCCTTTATTGCATCTTAATGATTTTCCTTTTTTAATATGTGCATCAAATATTGATCAGCACTTACCTCTTTTAAAATATTCTAAGAATAGGGATTATATTTTCATTCTGTACTTGACAATTTTTTCCATTAAAAAATTCTGAGAATATAAAACATCTGTGAATGCACCTTTCTTTCCAGGGTGATGTTGCAAATGAAGTGGAAACTGAACAGATACTCTGCGATGCTTCTGTCATGTCTTTCACTGCAGGAAGTTATTCTTCTTACGTACAAGTTAGAGGATCAGTTCCCTTATACTGGTCGCAGGACATTTCAACTATGATGCCTAAGCCACCTATTACATGTGAGTGGAACAGTCTTTTCAATAGTAACTCTCCTTTACTCACATTAGAGAGTAAACTGCTGCCAACAGAAATTTCATAAAAGCATGGAGTTTTAGTACTGAAAAGTAGATACTTTAGAATCAAGACTACTGATATTTTTATGCAACAACTTCATATACATTTATTTTTAATTTTGGCCACTAGAAAATTATTTATATTTAAAATATGTAAATATAATTAATTATATTCAGAAATGTAAGAGTCATTCGAATTCAATGAATATATGAAGAATGATACGCTTAAGAGGAATTTGAGACCTGAAACTACCAGAAGATCAATTGAGTTATATTTCTATAAACATTATAAAGTGAAACAAGACCCTGTGCAGCTTTTATTCTTGCTGTATAATTTTCATTCTGGTACTTATTTGTTTTTTCCTCCCAGTGGATCAGGCAGATCCGTTTGCCCATGTGGCTGCCCTTCACTTTGACCAGATGCTTCAGAGGTTTGGCTCGCCCATCATTGTCTTGAATTTAGTGAAGGTATGACATGCTCTCTGTTTGGTTATGAAATTTGATCACCCTAGACAACATGAAGGGGCTTAACTAGCCTGCTTTAAAGGAGGAGAGGGTTGTGGGTTGATCGTGCTGTGACGAGTCACTGTGTCTGAACTGTCTGAACCTCTATCCTTTGGCCTCAGAGTCCATGTGGCCTTTTCCCTGGGTAACTCAGACTCTGTGGTGGGTTTCCTAGGAAAGAGAGAAATGAGCATGTTTGTCTTCTACTTTCCTGGGGTGAACTAGGTATGGGTGAAATTCTGCCTCAGTTTCTAGGACATCTGGGAGAAGGAAGCATGGAGATCAAACACCCACAGGCTAGCCTTGATAGAGTAACTTCCCTTGACAATCCAGAAGATCTGCTGGGCAAGATAATATGTGGTAATAGGATCTAAGAACTAGATTCAGAAATTGGGGTGCAGTTGTGGCTCAGGAATCTGGTGGACAGTCCGAGTGGTGACCTGGTCTCGTAATTCTGTGCTTCTATGTCAGAGTACACTGTCTGGTCAGCATGTCTTGTGTATATGAGTAGGCAGCCAGGTCAAAAGCCTGGCGTGGAGGGTGGGAGACCAGGTAGGAAATTATATCTGTGTCTATTGCAACCAAATGAAGTGGAGGAATCTCATTCTGTGGCTAGGAAAACCCTGGATATGAAAAGCAAGTGTTTTGCTATATTATGACTATGGCAGTTGGCCAACACCTAGTATCTGAGATTATTCTGAGAAGTTGGTTATAAGTATTTGCTGTTGTTGTTCAGTCACTTGTTCGTGTCTGACTCTTTGCAACCCCATGGACTGCAGCACACCAGGCTTCCCACTCTTTCACCATCTCCCAGAGTTTGCTCAAACTCAGGTCCATTGAGTCAGTGATACCATCCAATCATCTATCCTCTGTCACCCCCTTCTCTGTCTTCAGTCTTTCCCAGCGTCAGGGTCTTGTCCAAAAGTCAGATCTTCGTATCAGGTGCCAAAGTATTAGAGTTTCAGCTTCAGTCCTTCCAATGAATATTCAGGACTGATTTCCTTTAGGATTGACTGGTTTGATCTCCTTGCTGTCCTAGGGACTCTCAAGAGTCTACTCTAGCACCNCTTCTTGACCTACATACAGGTTTCTTAGGAGGCAGGCAGGGTGGTCTGGTATTCCCATCTCTTTAATATTTTCCAGTTTGTTGTTACCCACACAGTCAAAGGCTTTGGCATAGTCAGTAAAGCAGAAGTAGATATTTTTCTGGAATTCCCTTATTTTTCCTGTGATCCAGCAGATGTTGGCAATTTAATCTCTGGTTCCTGTGCCTTTTCTAAATCCAGCTTGTACATTTGAAAGTTCTAGGTTCACGTACTATTGAAACCTAGTTTGAAGGATTTTGAGCATTACCTTGCTAACATGTGAAATGAGTACAATTGTGCGGTGGTTTGAACATTCTTTGGCATTTTTCTTCTTTGGGTTTGGAATGAAAACTGACCTTTTCCAGTCCTGTGGCCACTGCTAGATTTTCCAAATTTGTTGGCGTATTGAGTGCAGCACTTTAATAGCATCATCTTTTAGGATTTGAAATAACTCACCTGGAATTCCATCACCTCCACTAGCTTTGTTCATAGTATTGCTTCCTAAGGCCTGCTTGACTTTGCACTCTGGGATGTCTGGCTCTAGGTGAGTGATCACATCATCATAGTTTTCTGGGTCATTAAGAATTTTTTCGTACAGCTCTTCTGTGTATTTTTGTCATCTCTTCTTAATATCTTCTGCTTCTATTTTATTCATAGTTTCTGTCCTTTATTGTGCCCATCTTTGCATAAAATGTTCCCTTGGTATCTCTAATTTTCTTGAGGAGATATCTGGTCTTTCCTATTCTATTGTTTTATTTGCGTTGTTCACTTAAGACTTGCTTATCTCTCCTTGCTATTCTTTGGAACTCTGCATTCAGATGGATATTTCTTTTTCTCCTTTACCTTTTGCTTCTCTTCTTTTCTCAGCTCTTTGTAAGGCCTCCTCAGCAGCCATTTTGCCTTTTTGCATTTCTTTTTCTTGGTGATGGTTTTGGTCACCACCTCCTATACAATGTTATGTCCATAGTTCTGTCCATAGTTCTTTAGGTACTCTATCAGATCTAATCCCTTGAATCTATTTGTCACTTCTACTGTAAGTGATTTGATTTAGGTCATACTTGAATGGCCTAGTGGTTTTCCCTACTTTCTTCAAGTCTGAACTTTGCAATAAGGAGCTCATGATCTGAGTCCCAGTCAGCTCCCAGTCTTGTTTTTGCTGACTGTATGACCTGGATAACCAAGATCATTAATTATAATAAGCATAATCCAATTTAATTAGAAACCAAGGAATCCTACATCTATTTAAGCCACCGTTTAACAGTTGTGAAGGTTTCCCTTGTGCCAAGGCAATCGTAAAAACAGTGCCTGCCTTCTCTGGGCTCACAGTCTAACAGGAGATGGTAAAGTGATGCAGGGGTACCAAGACAGGGTTATGACGCTGTGAGAGCTTATAGCGGGAAAGAAGTCTTCCCTGAAGAAGTGATGAGTCAGTGCAACGCCTCTGAATGAAGAGGCCTTTACAGGGCCAAGAGGAAGGAGAGCAGCAGGTACAAAGGCCCTGGGACGGGAGGGCATAAGGTGCGTTTGAGGAAGAAAAACCTCTCTGACTGGGTCCCAGAGAATCGGGCAGGAGAGCCTGTTGTGAGAAGAGACTGAAGAGTTAGCTATGCCAGACTTATAGAGCCTTGTAGGGTGTGTTAATGAGTCAGGTCTGGTCTTGACTTTCCAAAACCATTGAAGGTTTTGTAGAGTTGCGAAGATGGTGATCAGATTTCTGTTTTGAGAAGATTATCCTGGCCTCAAGGTAGAGAAGGAATAGACTGGTACAGCCTATAATCGATGTTGGAAGACCCCATAGGGCTGTTATAATTATCCAGCACAGGGTAACTGGCCTCAGCTAGGGTGGTGTGGTAGAGGTGGAGAGGAGTGGACGCAGGCAGTGGACTCAGTGATGAGCTGGGTCTGAGAGGAGGGAGAGGCAGGGGTGAGATTGGATCCTGCGGTTTCTGACTCACTCAGGTGGATGGGTGGCGATGCCATTCACTGAGCCAGGGAACACAGACTGCCTGTGAGGGAAGGTGGTCAGTGCGGTTTGAATGTGTTGAGGTTTGAGATGGGTTGAGTCCTGTCAAAGGAGATGGAAAGTAGGTGGTAGCTATGTGAGGTGAAAGCTCAGGAGAGAGGTCTGGGCTGAGATGTGATATTATGGCCCGTCTGAGTCCTGGCGATATTTGAAGACGTGGGTGTGGAGAGGATGTCCAACCGAGGCTGCCAAGAGAGAAGAGCAAAGAGCCTCTGGTCTCGACTCGAGAACCTCCAGCTCCTCGTGTCCAGGTAGAACAGGGTGAATCCGTAAAGGAGTTAGAGAAAGGACAGATGGAAAAGTGGGAGGAAAACCAGGTGAGTGCTGTGCTATGACAGCTAAGAGAAAGCATGTTTTGTGATGAAGCAAGTAAGCAGTTGACAGTGGCAAAGGCTGCTGATGGGTCAGGTAAGATGAAAACAGAAAATACACTCATTGATACTCCCAACACCAGGGGTACTGAGTGGGATGGACTGAGCTCAGTTCAGTTCAGTCGCTCAGTCGTGTCCGACTCTTTGCGACCCCATGGGCTGCAACACGCCAGGCTTCCCTGTCCATCACCAACTCCCGGAGCTTACTTAAACTCGTGTCCATCAAGTCAGTGATGCCATCCAACCATCTCATCCTGTCGTCCCTTCTCCTGCCTTCAATCTTGCCCAGCATCAGGGTCTTTTCCAGTGAGTCAGTTCTCTGCATCAGGTGGCCAAGGTATTGGAGCTTCAGCCTCAGCCTCAGTCCTTCCAATAAATATTCAGGACTGACTTCCCTTTGGATGGACTGGTTTGATCCTCTTGGAGAAATGAAGCACCTAGTGAGAAATGTGGAAGAGTTGGTGTTTTCATCTGGTTGTTGTTTCTTGAAGAGGTCATAGTGATGTGTGTAAAAGTGTTCGGGAAGGATCCGTTTGAGAGCCTTAAGGAGAGGAAAGAATACAGGAAAGAGAAGGGGTGATCAGGGCATAATGTACTTGAGAGGAAAGGAGGAAATCTGAAACCTGGAGGGAGGCGTTACTTTAATGGGAGGACAGAATCGTAAGGGTATGTGTGTGTGTGTGTGTGTGTGTGTGTGTGTGTGTGTGTGTGTGTTGTATATGCATGTACGTGCACTTACTTCCCCTCCTGATGGCTTTAACTTGTCCTTAAGGTCAGAGGAAAGGTTGCCTGCTCAGAGCAAAAGTTTGAGGGTGGTGGAAGTTTCACAACCTTCATATATGTGGGAGGGTGGGTTGACCAGAGACCTCCAGGCAACGCTAAGGGTAAATTCCAGGTTGGTGATGGCAAATTCCAGGATTTTTTTAAGTCGTGCTATTGCCTGATTTTCCTGGCAGTGCTAGTGAATGGGTATAAACACAGAAAGTGAAATTCTCTAAGTCGTGTCCGACTCTTTGTGACGCCATGGACTATACAGTCCATGGAATTGTCCAGGCCAGAATACTGGAGTGGGTAGCCTTTTCCTTCTCCAGGGGATCTTCCCAACCCAGGGATCGAACCCAGGTCTCCCACACTGCAGGTGGATTCTCTACCAGTGGAGCCATAAGGGAAACCCAAGAATACTGGAGTGGATAGCCTGTCCCTTCTCCAGGGGAGCTTCCCAACCCAGGAATTGAAACGGGGTCTCCTGCATTGCAGGCAGATTCTTTACCAGCTGAGCTACCAGGGAAGCCCAGACACACAGAGGACGTAGATAATTGGGTTCCTTTAGTTTTGCCGTACAGGGGTGACATAAAGGACAGATCAGAGGGGTCCTGGGTGTTGGCAGTCATCTAATTGAAGCGGACCGTGCAACCTGGGCTGGAGGAGGGCGAATCATGGAGAGGGTGGTGGGGAAAGCAGAGCTGTCAGTGGGCTGGGGTTCTTGTGAGG